CTTCAAATTGCCAGAATAATAGTGGCCTCTGAGATTTTAAGGCTTATTCGAAGAAATTACTAAATTTCGACTTTTTCAGGAGCAATAATTATTAGAGGAATAGTTGTTAGTATAGTAATTTGCTTGGTTAATAAGTCGGATTGGAATTTTTTTAGTAGCCATAAAAACAATGTCGTTTTTTGCGTGTCATACATTTTTAATAATAAAGCTCGGGAATTAATGCTGCAGAATCCGATGTGATTATTCTCAACTATAAGGTCTTACTCTGTAAAATTCGAAATTCTTACAAAAAAAAAGAAAATTCAACTTTCCACAAACTAATCGAATGAATGCAAAAGGTTAAGTCCATGTCCTTTTCAGATGCTGTGGCCATTGCAAGATTAGACGTTGTTCCATTCCATAATTCGCCTTCGTAGCCAAAGATTACATGAAGCTCTTTTTGGATTATGACTTGGTTGCTGTTGCTGCTGTTTGTATTTCCCTCCGACCAAAATGGGCACCAACAATGTGCTGCATGACAGAGCGTAAAGCGAGTACACTTGCCCACATGGCGTGGTATGTTTGCACCACGCTGTGAATATCGCCTCATTGACAATTTAAAGTGTTTTGTTGCCAGCAATTTACCAATTTGAGCAACACATGCACCATGTCTGGCAGTTAACGTCACCAGCACTACAACGACCGACCACCACCTCCAACGTCTCAAATGTGGCGTAAATATCAAAAAGGTGCCGTGCACCCAACGCACGCACTTATGGGAATGAAATCACACAATTCGATTGAGAAGCGATTAAGAGAGTCAACGAATTGTTGGTCACTACGGAGTAAAGCGTAAACTTCGAAACTTTTGATATTTTGGACAATAATGAAAATGTACTATTGTGCAACACTCGTCTACGGGCAAAATATTTTGAAAAATGTTCACAAACGTTTGTGCCACAAGTAGGGTTCTAAATCCAAAACGAGGCTAATTCCAAAAAGAATCCGAAAAATAATCAAATGCATTCCTGTACAAGTGCTGCCGTTGCATTACCATTGGCCATAAAAGGATTTCCACTTGCATTGTGTTTTCCTGGAGTCGGGTCGAATATTGGCATGTTTAGTCCAACACTGCCTGCGCACACTCCGCGACACACACAGACACATCCATTGCCTGCAACAGATGCAAAATGTAAGTGAACACCAGGAATGCTGTGTCCGAAAATTCACCACGATCCATACACAAAACAATCAGCAGCATGTTCAGTGCTGCGAATTTAGGCGTCCATAAGATCGGACCAACATACTCGCACATAGCTGCTGACCAAGCTCATTTGCCTCGCCATTGAAACGTTTAGCTGAAGTTGAAATTCCCAAAAAAGAACTGGACGTAGTCGCAATGAATTTGAACAACACCAAGACGGCGAGTAGCTAACAAACAGATGTTAATACTGTGGTGATTGGGATTCGGAATACCGACTCCTGGGATTTACGAAATTTTTAACAAGGCTATCATTTAGGAAAAGAAACGTTGATAATGTTATCTGTTCCCTAGGATTTGTAAGCAGAATTTAAATACCAATCAGGGTTCTATTAATGGGAGAATACCTGCAATGAATGTGGGTACGAGTCAAATTTTCAAAAATTATTTGAAAACCTATTTAATTTGTTTTAAAAAAAATAAAACGAATTCCACTTTTGGCAACTTGGGCCTCAAACCCATATAAAGGGCTCTTGTTGATTGGAATTAACCAAGGGACCATATAAACTACATTAAATTTATCGGGGTCAATGAAAATGCTGCCGCTCGTTTTATGATAATATTTGTTAGTTTGTCAATCTATACCAATACTACACCACGTGGGGGTGGAAAATATTTTTAGGATTAAGTTCTTAATGTAAGACCTGATTTAATTTGGATGAAAATTTGCAGATTGTTTTTGGAGGAAAATATGTAAATTTCCTTTTTTAAATACCTTTGCCTACTATATGAGCAAAGGATTTGCATTTTCTAGGGGGAACTACTCATTTCGATCTGAACATGTCAACCAAAATTTTGTAGTTACTATGACCAAACAAGAAATGTCCTATATCTTCAAAGGAATGCGAGAAAATTCAACTCTGAACTAGAGTCTGCAACAATTGGTTTTGTATAATTTTAAGATGGAATGACAATATACTATTATACCAATATTGTAATTTTTTTGCCAATCTACCTCGAAAGATTTTTTGTTGCAATTGAATTTGAAATAGTGTTAAATTGTTATTTTTTATTCAAAACAATACACACACATATACAAACTGTGTAAATGTTTTGACAGAATTGGAATAAAAAAATATTGTATTGAGGAAATGCAGGGTCCGCCAAATAACATTTTTTTTTGAAAATGCGATAAAAAAAAAACTGCTTAATGCTTTCGATTTTTTTTTGTTTGAAAATACAGTGTTGCCCTTTAAAGACTCAATTAATCCCCGGCTTGTCGACGTAACACTTATCTTTAACGGCAGCCACATATAATTGTATAACGGTGTAAATCGCGGCTCTGAAGTAACCAACCGATTTTAGGTCTGCTGTTGATAATACGACATTTAACAAGTAAACAAGCAGGAACAAGGCAAAAACCAGGCCTGGTCGAACTTAATACCCTCCACAATTTGGAACGAATTTGGACATTTTCAAAAAAAGTGAAAAATAGAATAGAATAGAAAAATAGAATATTGGGAGTCACAGTTATTTTGGGGTCCATACGAAGACGTGGACCCGCATAGGCAATTTTCTATCACAGGCTGTAGTACCCATATCGAAGTGCAAATACGAAATTTGAAACAAATCCGGAGACTAATGTAGCTAAATCATCAAATAGGGAGCTACAGATATTTAGGGGCTAAAAGAAGACCTGGACCTGCATAGATGTTTATCTGTCATAGGCTGTAGTACCAATTACGAATTGCAAATACGACATTTGAAACGATTCCGTTGAAAAGTGTCGCCCTAATCTGCAAAATACAAAATATGAGGAGGTACCGTTATATGGGGGATATACGAAGACATGGACCTGCATATGTAATTTGTTGCCATAGGCTGCAGTACACATTACGAACTCGAAATAAGAAATTTGAAAAAAAAATCTGGTAAATAATGTCGGTATAATCATAAAAATACCGAATAAAAGGAGATACCGTTATATGGGGGCTATATGAAGACCTGGACCTGCATAGACAATTTTCTGTCACACATTGTGGTATCTATTAGGAACTTCATATACGAAATTTGAAATGAATCCGGTGAACAATGGGAACAAAACATCGAATGTAGCTTCGGCTGTGTGGCATGAAGCGTCGTCCCGCAAAAACCAATTGTTGCCAATATTCTCCTCTTCCATTTTTGTGAATAATAATAAAAATGGTCCATATAGGTATACATTTTAATATAGCCGCCATATGAACAGAACATAAACTCCTGTACTATAACCTACCCCCTATATTCGATATTTTGATGATTTGCGTCAAATTTGTCACCGGCATTCTGTCAAATTTGATATTTGGAGTTCTAATGAATACCACCACCACTGAGAAAAAATTGCTTTTACAGGTATGTGGTTTTGCATAACACCAATATCACTGGACAATTCCAAAATTCGAGATGAATCACCACTGTTCGGCTTCAAAAAACATACTGCCACTGTGCAGACAATCTAGCTCGTTCGTTTCATCGGTCTCATCATCCTTTACAGCTCCCATTGTGAAATGTTCAGTGTTTGTTTGGTTGGATGTAACTTTTGGAAATCTCTTGTTACGGTAAAGCATTTAATGAGCGTTCTTTCGCAATTATCTACTTATGGCTACAATGGCCACAACTGCGCAGAAGATTCAAATGCTGCTGACGATGTCTATTCGTCTAAACATGGAACAAAGTAGAGCATCGGAAAATTGGTTAACAGTTTTGTTGTTATTTGTTGTTGTTATCTGTGAACATTTGTTAAAAGAACAGCCTAATTTTCATTTCGTAATATTTGACATGACCTGTAATTTGCAAAGGGCTTTCACAGGCCACTAAAAGAAAAACAGTCACTCCAGTAGGGCTAGGTGGCAGAGGGAGAAAGAGATGGAGATGGATAGCATTCAGTCTAAAACGTGCCACGATGTCAAAGTAGTCACTGTCGTTGCTTTGCAACAATTACACTTTGGTGGGAATCAAACAAATGTTTGATAGACCCCTGAACTTCGTCTTGGAGGAAGTGTAACGGGCATAGATGGCGAATCAGCGGTTGGCCGGATGGATGAGCTTCATTTGATTTGCATTGTTGAGAATAAAGTGCCGTTGAGCGTTTTGTGGTGTGCGCCTTAAAAAGGGGTAACCATGAAAATAATTGATAGCCAGAAGAAGAAGAAGAATGTTGTCAACCATTATTAGGGAACATCTGTTTATTCCAATGACTTAAATGTCAATAAGGGGGAATAATTTAAAAAGAAAATGGACAAATTAAACGAGGAAAATGGCAGCCAGAATTTCCTGGCAGAAATTGTAAGGAAATTCTTTCCTTTTTATCTCATCAGCGAAGAAGATTGGATGCGTGGCTCCCAGCTCCCAGCGAAGTAAAACACCCGGCATTTTTTGGCGATAAATTCCATAAGTAAACGGAATTACATTTATTAATTTGATGTGTTCAACAAAATAAATGAAAAGAATACAAAATCCAAACCTTTTTTTTTTTGCTAAAAAGGCTTGAATCTTAAAACAAAATATAAATCTTAAAACAAAATATAAAATTTAAAAAGCTAAAATGTGAACATTTAAGAACTAAACCTGAAAGTATTCTTAATAGTTATACAAAAACTAAATAAACATCTTAAAGTTTGGCAAAATTTTAAACAAAAAGGAAAGACTTGAAACTGAATTAAGTTTAAACAAAACAAAGCTGAATTAAGTTTAAACGAAATGAAAATGAATTAAAGATTAAACAAAACAAAACTGAATTAAGTTTAAACAAAATGAAAATGAATTAAAATTAAAACAAAACGAAACTGAATTAAGCTTGAAACAAAACTTAATAAATACAAAGAAAATTAAGAAAAATCTTAAAAATTAAGTCCTGGCAGAATTTTTGGAGTAAAGAGCCACACCATCGCCCATCCAATCCATCGAGGGAGGCGCAGATTTTCCGTCACTGCTATACCAGCGTGACTTGGTATCTTCCCTATAGACGTCACTATAAACTCCGGACAGACAGACGGACGACGAGGCGACATAATTAGATTCCGCGGTTTTCCTGAAAAGAAAAGTACAATTTTTAAATAAAAAGGGGTAAACAAAAGAAGTTTAATTTAAGATTTACTCGCCTGGTGTTGCAGTGCAGGATCCCTCGTTGAATTGAGCTCATTTCGAGGTTAGGTATCCACTTTTTTTTCTCGTCGATTGTTTTTGTGGTGTCGACATACTGCCTTTTGTTTGTCCTGGCCTGGAATTGGAAAATAAATTATCATTTTTTTTAATCTTGAACCGGGAATGTAGTTATAAAGCTAAACTTCATACTATTACGTACTTACTCTTTGGGAAGAACCTTGTCCATTAGCTGCCGTCAGTGGTCCTAACTCTTGATACCCGCCATCGAACCCTGAAAAGGAAAAAGAAAGAGAAGGAGCTTAGAGTTGGAATTAATTTTTTTTATGGAGTTAATAATTACGTTTCCTGTTTTTTTTCATTGATTGATAGTATAAATCAATATGTAATGTACAATAGGTGTAATAAAATTGTATACTTCCAAATGAAGATGATGTCGTTGGCTTAAGGCCATTAAGAAGGTGGTAGGGATGGTTTAAACGGAGGTAAGTGAAGGGTCAAATTTGGGACGTCAGGGAGTGGTGACGTCATGGCGAGAGGTGTTCTCGGTGGGAGGGCTATCTCTTGGTCGGACAGCCGCCAAGAGAGCTGTTTCCGGAGGAAAGAATTGGGTTAAAGTGAGTTTAAGATTGAGTTTTTGGTAGACAAGTGTAGTTTTTTGTATTTTTAGGCATGTTTCAGGCTTCTAATAATATTCCCCTTTTAGATATTCGTGCAAGCCCGGTATGATATTTTTTTTGTGTTCAACCGAAAAGGTCTTCAAGTGGCAAGAACCACCCCTCACCCGACGAGCCATAGCCGCGCTAAACGCCAGCATACCGGCAACGCCACTTAAAGCCAAATATTGCGATTTTTCGTCATCCTCGGAAAACGGTTGTTACAGTTTTGTCGACATAATAATTCTGGCTAATAGTTTGAAGGGAATAATTGAAAATTTTGGGAAAATTCATTTGTCATTGCATTGAAGATGTGGAACAGTCGCTTATTAGCGGTCGGAAAAATGATCATTAGCATCTGTGACCGTTTCTCTGTACAATACATGCATTGTGCAGTTCACTGGTTTAATCTGTTATATCAGAAAAGACAGATTGTATGCATGAATATGAGCTTACCAGTGGTACAGTAAGAAGTTAGAACAGCTTCGTAAGACTACAGCCCTAATGCCCACTTCCTGTCAAAATTGTTGAAAATCAAATGCAATATGTTGTTCTCATTTCTCAAAAAATAGTAATCAGCTGGTAGCTCTACCTTAATTTTTCATTGTACCATGAGCTTATCAGCTTTAGTTCTTCCAAATATTAAAGATGTTCTTTTAATAGTTCAACCTTTTTGTGTTTTTTTTTTTAAATCGAGAACAATTTATAGACCTTCTTCCTTCTCAATGGTTTAAATTTTGAAAAATGCCTAAAATTGTTATTTTCCTGGTAAAGTTGAATCCTATTGCCACACCAAATATTTTTGCAGTTTGTCACTATGTACCGTTCCCGCCAACCAAAAACAGAGAAACCAACTCAAATCCTCCCCTGGGGAAATGACAATTTGTTATATGCTTTTATGGCTTGACAACATGGCTTCTATTGGTCACTTAGCGTCAAGTTTTGCTCTTTACAGAGGTTGTTGTTACTGTTGTTCATTGTTAAATAAGATGTTGTGTTTGACATTTATGAACTGCCAATTGATAAGTGGAACATGAAATTGTATATGCTTCAAGTTTTTAGATCATTAACCTATTGCCCCAACAAAATATCGAAATACATAGAGACATACTCCACTATTTATTTTCATATTTATGGGATACTGTGTGCTCTCTTAAAAGGTAACAACTTAGAATTATCTAAACAATAATTTGTCAACCACGTTCACATTCTCCTTCAATATTCGAATATTTTATTGGCAAGAATATTAACATTTGTCGAATAATTTTAAAATAGCAGTTTTTGGGCGACCGGATTTTACCAACCATGCTCATCATGACCACCTCCGCCTTCACTACTTTTCTTTTCAGATTTCTTCCATTTCTTCTTCTCACTTTCTTCTTTCTTTTTGTCATCGCCATGTTCGTGACCCCACTTCTTTTTTTCTTCATGCTTTTTCTTGTGACCTTTGTGGCCCTTCTTCTTATGGCCCTTGTGGCTGTGACCCTTCTTACCATATTTTTCTTCTTCTTCGGATTTTTTCTTGCCACCTTTCTTGTGATGTTTTCCCTTTTTGTGGTGGTCGCCCTTCTCGAATTCACCGTGCTTCTCTTCGTCGCCCTCGTCGTGCTTTTCATCATAGTATTTCTTTTCTTTTTTGTCCTCGTCCAGTTTGTGGACGTGATGTTTTCCCTTTATGGAGTGTCCTTTCTTATATGATCCATGGTCTTCAAACTCATGTCCCTTTTCGCCTTTATCGCCCTTCTTGTGTTTCTTGTGGTGCTCGGAACCCTTCTTGTGCTTCTTTTCGTGACCTTCCTCCTCTTCGTGTTCACCCTTTTTTCCCTCCTCGTCGTGGTGACCTTTTTCGCCCTTGGCATGTTCCTCTTCCTCTTTGTGGTGTTTCTTACTTTTCTCTCCTTTTTCCTCTTCGTGTTTACTGGACTTTTCTTCACTTGATTCGGATTCATAGCTTTCCTCTTCCTCCTTTTCTTCCTTATCGTAATGTTTCGATTCCGACGGTGTCAAGTCCTGAGAATGGTAGACATTCTCTATGGCGCGCCATGGTACAACATCTTTTAGATCAAGTTGAGATAATCTAGGCGTAAGGCTACCGGCTGCTACCAAGTCCAATAGTGGACCCCATATTATTGATGAACTCAGAAAACACCAGCTTAGCAATGCTAGTCGCACCATCTTGCAATTTCTGGCAAGTCGAATATCTCACCGACTGCGACTAATTTATTTTTGCCACCCAGACGTCTTTTTATTGAAATTAGCAAAGATATTGTCGCGATGGTCATCGAAGCGTTGAAATAATTTGTGTTGTGAAATGTTGTCGTTTCGATTCGGTTTATCGGTTGTGGTCACTTCAAAATAATTACGGAAATCTAAAAAAACAACTTTTTTAACTTCCAAAGTTCCGGACCTAAAATTCGAATTGCATTCCATGGTTGGGAAAAATACCATTGATCTATGCGAATCGCTCTTTCTTGGTGCAACAGATGGCCTGGCACATCTGTTGAGCCCCCACTCCAACATTGAGATGTTGTTCCCTTTGGTCATTGCCTTAAGTGTGCATTTGGAAAGTGTTTGCACACTTGTGGCCACCATTTTGCTGGTAAAAAGAACCAATTCAATAACTGTGTAAGAAAATCTGTAGCTAGGCAGAGACTAGCAGTATATGGAAGACATCATGCACCTGTGAACAGTTTTTGTTTTCCACTTCCACTTGTGTCGCCCGATGCTTTTGTTTCTGTTAGTTTTTAGTCTCCTCGTTTTTATCTTTGAGAGAACAGTGATTTTTTGGGGCGAAAGGGGAGGCCTATTATTATAAACTTTAAAAAGTATCAGAAATATGTAAAGTTGTATTGGGACTAGGATAAAACCTATACCAAGTCTGGAACAGTACCGAAATGTAATGTTTTGAAAATATCCTTTAACTAACAAGGCGGTTAGACGGTTTTGTTGCGATGATGCTTCTATATCTGGATTGAAAATTGGATATGCAGGTCAACGTCTTCGTATAGCCCCAATAGAACGATTCCTCCTTTTATTCGGCATATTTATGATTTTACCGACATTATATACAAGATCTTTTTCAAATTTCATATTTGAAGTTCGTGCAGCACCCAGCAGCCTATGACAGAAAATTACATATGCAAGTCCATATCTTCGTGTAGTACCTAAATAACAGTACCTGCCTATATTCGACATTTGGGTGATTTTAGCTACATTGTTCTCCGGAATTGTTTCAAATTTCTTATTTGCACTTCGATATGGGTACTACAGTCTGTGACATGGACCTCAAAATAAAGTTAACTCACTATATTCTGTATTTTTAAGCATTTTGCTGAATTTTTAATGGATTATATTTTTTATTTACATATTTTATTTATTTATTTATTTATTTTTTTTTTGGAAAATTTACAAATTCGTTCCGTATGGTAAAGGATATTTAGAGTTTGGCCCGGTCGAACTAACTACTTTTTAATTTGTTATTCTACTCATCATCGAAAGAAGCCTATTTTAAAATTCGTCATTTCGTGTGTAACACCTCCAAATATGGGTCGGAAACCCCATAATGTATATACATTCTAATTTCGATTAAATTATATCCCTCTGTTTGTCTGCTGAAATATAGTCCTATTTATTTGACATAGAGTTTGAAAATTCGGCATAATAGTAGACATAAAATTATGTTATTTCCGACATAAAATTATGTTATATCGGTTCACGTGTTCATATAGCCTCTATATAACGAATAAAATACTTTATATTTTGATTAATTGATTTTACCTGTTCTAGACAAATATGGATTAGGTTTTCCACTCACTGTTCGGTATTTTTATAATTTTGATAGGTTTTTCTTAAATTGTTTAAAATCTGGTACTGGACAAATAACAACCTCTATATCAGAAACTTGTCTTGCGCCCTAATTTGTTCGATTTGAACAACATTTGAGATTTGGGAAGGTATAATTCCACCTTTAATTTGAGGGTTTTTTAAGCTATGTATTAGGTTTGATCTTATAATGCTTTGAATCTCTCTGGGCGATATAGAGTAAATATTAGCTCTAATTTAAACTGCTTTGCTTAAGAAATAATGAGCCAATGGACTTGAACATATTTTCGCAGGAAAAATCAAATCTATGCTTTCCACTGTCACCGGTTTGGAAATGGCTTTGGCTTGAGTTGAATCTCGCTTGTTTTACGTTCTATGCTCTGTGCATTAATTTGCAACAAATTGTAACCGTCTTAAGATTCTTGTTTTCTTTCTTCTTTCATTCTCTTTTCAGCTCATTCGTGGCTGTTTAGTTTAGCCATGCTCTGTGGTGCTTGGAAATGCATGCATACTTGAGAAAAGTATAATTTTCTAAATACCGTAATAATGTTAATGTGGCTTTGCTGTTTTTATTTTATTTTTTCAGTTCAAGATTTTTTCTCCATTTCATCACTTTGGGAAAAGTCCCAGGTCAATTTAGCAGAAGTCGGTTCACATCCAGAAAATCAGATGTTCCATGGAAGGAGATGGATGAGTGGCAAGGTGAGAGCACGCGGTTGACTTTTTCCAATGACATTCACAGCGATGCTGGTTGGATGGATGGATGGATGAATGGTGCGTTTGAATTTCCGTTCTTCACTGACAATCTCCCCTCCCCCCTCGCATGGAACGGCTTTGGCTAATTTCATGTGAAAATAATAGTGTGCAAATATTTTCATAGCAATTTTCTACTTAAAATATTAGAAATGATGACCATGTGGCGATGAGGTGATGTGACGATGACCAATGGTCTTGGCTGCAAGAATGACGCTGCTGTCAATGCAGAACAAACTTTTGACTTTATTACTATTGCATAAGTTTCCTTGCCGCATCGGAATTTCTTGGCAGCATCTGTAGTTGGAAGTCAACGAACCATGGAGAATGTACTCTTAAAAATTGTAACACTGTGTGACTCATTCGATGAATGAAAAATAATTGGAGTTTTTGCAAGAATAATCCGCTGTCAAAAATTGCAAATCATTTACCATGAACTAAATTATCACACACTCTTTCCCGGCCGACATCTGTGAACACACAAGACAATGTTGAGACACAATCTGAATGAACGTCATCTGTTTGTTTTTTAATCAGTGAATTTCATTGGCATATTTATTGAAATGTCCTTGGATTGAAACGAAACACTCACAACTTCAAACTGTTTCTCTCGCCACCCAGGTATGAGCCCATTGATTTTTCTTTGAATCAATTTCCGCTAACCGATTCTTAGAATTCATTAACAATTCAATCGATTGTTCAATCGTTTCTATGCCACTGAGTTGGGATTGGGTAACAACGATCATTCATTTCAAAATTTGATGGAAAGTGAAATGTAAAAAAAGAATTAAGAATTTTTGTACTAAAAAAATATAACCAGATAAGTTTGGTTAGGTTGTCTATCGTTTACTTATAACTGGGTCAATAGCAAATAATTAACGCAACAGCTCACTACAAGACTCAAGATTTATCTGTTCTACGGTAATCCCGGTGTACACACCAGGGGCGTTCATCCTCTAAAATATTTTGTCAACTCCCCACACAGTGATCTCCTAAGTCGGATATAAATATTAGAAAGTGTCAGATTTTTACTATATCGACTACTTCCTGTACTTTATATTAGGTATGTGATTTTTGGAAAATAGTCAAGTATAAGCGATGTACCAGTGAACTGAAGTATTCCATTTCATCTAATACTGATAAAAATGTTGAGATGTTAAATATTTAAGAATATTCCATCTTCACTTCAGACCTTGGGATTAAAAAATGTAGAGATGTGTGAAATTTGAAAACAATCGGACTCTTTCATCATATATTATAAGAGTTATAACTATTCAAAATATTATCGTGGGGGAGATACTTAATGGAGTGCACCGATGTGGTCTATTGCCGCACCTAACCTAGCACTGATGCAAAATCGGGTTATCGTTTCTCCTTCTGTGCAGTAAATTTTTTTTGTTGAAAATTTCGACTTTTTGTGTGGGAGGTACTTGAAGGAGTGGACCGATATTGCTCATCGCGGAACTCAAACTAAATTTGATAATAATATTGGAATGTGCCAAGTTTAGACCAACCAGCCAGACAGACGGACGGGCATAGCTAGATCGACTCCAAATGTTCTGAAACGAATTTGGTCCAAAGAGACTTAGGGTCTAAAACCGTTATTTCGTTGAGGCACGTTTTAACAGTATCAAATTATATATACCCTCTCTCTCTGACTTGCGTCATAATTATTAAAGCTGTCGACCCTTTATGGGGGAGGTTCCGAAGCGAATGGCCAATATTGTCCATTTCATATCTGACCTAAGTCTGATAACAATATTCAGATGTGCACAATTTAAATAAATATCCCTACTTCACACCAGCTCTTGTCTTAATAAAAAATATCGGGATGTGTGAAATTTAAAGACAATCGGATGCTTACATCGCATTTTAGAAGATATATAAATATTTAGCTTGTTTTATTAGAAATATTGAGATGTGCTGAATTTGGACTAAATCGGATACTCCCTTTTGAGAGTTATCGTGCGCACCAGTCAGCCAGACGGACGGACACCTCTAAATCGACTATAAATGTCCTGAAACAGATTTGGTTCAAATAGAGCTAGGGTCTTAAACCGATATTTGGGTGAGGCACGTTTATAGTTTGATATACGCGTTTATCAAATGATATATACGTTCTGTTACCATAGATATCCAAAATGTATGATGAAGATAAAGACTCCGAGAAATAATAAATTAAATTCTTCTTACGATATTCAATAGACTATTGAGTGTCAAGGCAAAGAACACTCTTTACTTGTTTCCATAGTCAGTTTACCAGACGTCGAAACCCAATTTTTTTCTGCGAGGCCAAATGTTGCCTTCTATTGCTCTCAAAATACATACTCATGCCCTGCACTATAAGGTGGAGGATATACTAACTCCATTTGCAACAGAGTTTATGCCACTCCTAAGATATTTGGTAGTGACAACGGACTAAATTTGTCAACGCTTATGTGCAGCCGGATGTTCGGAATTTTGAAGATTCTACCCACAATTCGAACATTATTAAAATCAAATCAATCAAAACAATCGGTAATGTATTGAGAATAAGAAGCGTAGTTTTGTTTATTTTTTCGGTGAAGGAAAACGCAATTTCGTCTCCTACTTCTCTTTTT